ACATATATATATATATATATATATATATATATATATATATTATTTAAGTATAATTCATTTTCTCGACATAGATTATATAAAGTACTTACTTACTATCGCAACCTTTTTATTATCATTCCCCATGATGAACAGTGAGAAGCAAAAAAAAAATTTGAAAATAATAAATTACACTGAATAATACAATTTTGCATTATAACATTAATGCTCGAAATCTTATTTCTATTTCAGCAAGTGAGTGCTCTAATTTTATAATCAAATTTTCAAAAATTTATCACTTTTCAATTTTTTTTCGAACCAAACTTCACTTTGAAACTTTTACGATCAATTGTTTACTTGTTACTAAAACTTTTTATCATTGTTCACTTTCTTCAATTATCACTGATAAAATTCTTTTTTTGTTCCCAAAACTTTTTTACTATCGTTCACAATTGACAGAGTACTGCTGTATTTAATGACTCAAACAAACTCATTTCGATATCATTCTTTGCCCGTAAAATTTCTAATCGGTTTGACTGAGTGAAATTTTGTAAAATTTTTAAAAATTCAGAAAAATATTATAATTTCTCAATCAACAAGTAAAACTTTTTAAAGTTTTCCAAAATTTAATTTCGCATATTACAGCAACAACGTCGTGTCATTATTGTAACATACACAGACATACTGATGTCTTATTTTTTATGCACAAAATATTCAATCGCTATTTTTCTTTTATTGCATATTTTAGTTATTTTATCATTTATTTATTTATCTGCTAATTTATTTATTTATTTATTTATTTGTTTATTTTTTCATTGATTTTATATTTTACTATTTATGCCTTTATTTATTTATTAATTTTCCTTTGTTACTATCAATTTTATGATAAAAGCAGTTTTGAGTTACAGAATATGTCTGAAATATTTTTTATAACATTTTCTTGCTCACATTCATTCAGTTATTTTTTCTTTGTGGCACTGATTCATTTTATTTATTGTTAAAAATTGTTATTTTGAACATCAATTGCGATAAATTTTGTCACTATTAAATAAATAATAAAAATAAATTTTATAGCATTTATCAGCTACGTTGTTTGTTTGATCTCAGAGTTTAGTCTCAATAGCTCAAGCTAGCGTAGATTGTTTTCAAATACTTTCAAGCTAACTTCTTCACTATCTAGCTCAGCAAATGACAACAAAAATGAAAACAAAAAAACTCGTAAAATTTTAGCTTCTTTTTTATTTATTTGTTTATTATTTTTTGCCTTCATTACTCACACTTAATTTTTAAATCAAATTGCGCAGTTATTTTAAAAAATCAAGATTTTTTTTTCTTAAAAGTAAGTTTGTTCATAATACTTAACATTTGTGAAAGGTACGAAGTTATTTATGATCTTAAAAAAATAAAACAACGCAAAAATTGTTAAAAAAAAGAAAGAAAATGAAAATCAGTGATGTCATATCATTAAAGCTTTTTTCTTATTCACTAAAAATTAAAACTTAAAACCTGTTTGACAATTCATATTGCCTACTCTTCCCGCCTACTAATTTATCTAATCGTAATAATCGAGTCTTGTTATTCTTCACTTTCTTAATTTTTATAATTATTGTTTCAATTTTTTCGTCTCACTAAAATGCTCAATCAAGCAGTAAGTAATCAGTTACTGTGTATAATTCAATAAATTCCTATCTTATCTATTCAAAACCTGTCTTGACTAATTAATCTAATCAAATATTGGTTGACTGAATAAAATATAGTTGTAGTTTATGTGAAATAAAATTCGAGCAGCATGCTTAAGTTTCATTTTTTTTAATTCAGCCAACAACTTTTTGCTTTGTCAAGACTGATCAGAATTTTAGATCAGAACAGATGAAAAATTTTACTTCCTTTTCATTTTGACAAATTCAATGAAAATTTCTACTTCTCAAACTTATTTTTGTTTACAGAAATGTTTAATTACCGGCAAATGTTAAACACTACTTTGTATGGTTCTTTGGTTAGCACTTTTACTTTTATGACTGTTTGTTGAAAAATAGGTTTTATTTTGAGAGAAGTAATTTTGTGACATTCTTTTGTATTATTTTGAAAGTTCTGTATTAATCAATGAACACTGTTCAGATACCAGTGCATTGAAAGTCTAGCACTTGAAAGAATGAATATTAGAATAGATTTAAGGAAGGCTTAATATTGTATTTGAAAAGTACAGGATGATAATTTCAGATACTTTTATTCAGGCATTTGTATGTTTAATAAACAATTCTAGAAACTTATCTCATAGTTATGTATATCTTTATGAGCTAATCAGTAATGTTTGTTTCATTCTTAGTAAGAGTTATTTCATTTTTCGATTATTCATTTTTTGATTATCAATTATTTATTTGTTGAGTGAAAATTTACTCACTGAAAAGTTATTTATGCCAGACATTCAAGAGAAGTGTAGTTGCAGTAACATCAAATTCAATCTTTTTTTTTAAATTTAAAATTGTAAATATAAATTTGCTCAATTTTTTATCCTGCCTTTTTGTGTTTAAACTTTAAAATTAATTAGTTTCATTTCTTCAAAGATTTTCAAGTTTTTCACTAAATGCAATCAAAAGCAATGTAAACTTTACGTGTTGCATTTTATAAAGAATTTTTTATACCAATATTGATTTACGTAATTTGCACAATTTCGCACTAATCTCCTCATATTAATTATGTTAAAAGCTAAACGAGCGAGAAGTTTGTGCGGGAAATTAAAGGAAGATTGATTTAGGTCAAAAGGATTTGAACTTTACTCTTTTGCGTAACTAACATTTACTGCGTTTTTGCTATCCATTCCATCCGAAAAATTTCATTTTCTTGCAATACTTTCTCATATTTACTTCCTACTTTAGCTTCATCGTATTCTTCTCATAAAATGCGTGAGTTCCATGCGTGAAAATACTCGTCGTCGCCTAAATTTCCACATAATTCTTTTGAGTTGCAGGATTGTCAATAAATTAATTTGGGATCTCCATAAGTAAAAATTTTTTTAATGGAATCTGATGGATTTGCTATAAATCACTTTTCAAAATGTATGGCTTTAATACGTAAAAAACCTTTTACACTATATTATTCCTTTTGAAACTATATGATCGCCAAATTATTTTAAAAACATTTCTGATATAAAATTGCCTTACATCAAAAATTATCTTACAGCATCACTTCAAAATTACTTCCCATTTGATATCATTGTGATAGAAAAATTTTGAAAAAATGATTTTTTTAGTGATTACGTAGTTTTTTGACTGATATGACATCGCAGAACTTGATTTGAGTTCTGACGTGATCAATAAAGTAAAGATCAGTAAAGTAAATGATTTCATCCTCACATTTCGTGCCAAGCTGTGCTGCAAAAATCTAGGAAAATAGTGTTTAAGAAAATGATAAGGTTGTTAGTTTTACAGATATCAATGCTTCGAATGGTATTATATTGTTCATAAGTTCGTACTGGTTTAATTTAGTAATTTTCCGTACTAAGCATTAAGTTTGCATACTTTGAAGTAAAAATTATTTTAAAAAGCTTGAGATTTAGCTCTTTTTTATAATGGATTTAAATTTTAATTAAAATAGGTGATTAAATCTTCATGCTTGTTATGGTATGGATTTTGTAAAAACATTGAGAAATTTTTATCAGATTTCTTTTGCAGAAGTATAACACACTTACGTGACCTTTTACACTTATCTTAATCAACTAGAAAATCTTTAGGGTGACAAAAAATAGACATTCGGGACTAAGTGTTAATTATTATAATACATGCATTGCTAGTTGATTGATCACTTCTTGTTTTTGTGATCTAAAGTTTGTGATGATTTTAATACGAAAATCAGTAAGCGACAATTGTGAGATATAATATTAATATTTCCTCACGTAAAAAATCCCTGTGAAATATTGAAAATTTATGACAAGCTTTCAGTATTTCATCGATATTTCAACGCAGTGACTCTCAGAAATCACTTGATTTACAAATTTCAACTACATTAGGATGAAATACTAATTTTGCCAATGTTTAGCATTATGAATTGTCACAAAAGAAAAATTATGACGTGAGATTCATGGGTGCCAATTCTAATTTTGAATCTACACAGTCATTATATCTGTTCCAGAGATAGATACGACATTTAAGTGTGGTGTGCTTTAGGATTACACTTTGTAATCTGTAAGTTCCTGAACCGATTATTTACTTTAACTTCGATGTCGAAGTTAATTACAGAAAACGCATCAACCAGTCAACTAGTTCGTTCTGATTCCATGGGTGGTCTCACGCAACACTGGGAAAATGACAACAACGATTGCTGTAGAACACGCGGAGAGTTACTTTCCAGTGTCAATCTGACCTCTGATACTAACTGTAAGCTACCATTAATTTCAGATAAAACTGTATGTCAAGATTATTTTAACACCATGATTTGCCAATTTTTTCCAGCATACTTTTTAACTTTTTTCAGTTGCTAACCAATTATATAACTTTCTTTTCATGACATAATCATGGAACGACTATACAGCATTTTGCGCTTTAAAATGTCTAATTTATGATTTCAGGTTGTAAGACCTCAAAGATTCTTGTTTTCTGCCAAAAAATCACATTACGAAGAATTTTCTGGCTGATTGGGTTTAGCATTGGTACATATCCATTTGCGTACGTAATTTCAGCCATAATTATGTCAATATTATCATTTGGAATATATTTTTTGAAGTTTGAAGATCGAGTTCGAGATGGTTATACGCCAATAACATCATTATCTCGTCGCGAAGCGTATTTTCTACGAGATTTTACAAATTCATTTGGTTGGTTTCGTTGAATTCATTCATTCATTTGAAGGACAAAGGTATCTGTCTATCACAAAATTGAAATTTAATTTTTTATCTTTAAAAATTTTTATTTCGGTGATTAACGTGGATTCTAGTAATATTGCCTTGCAGCCATGCTCAAGTATTTCGTTAGTTTAAGATTGAAAATGTATTACATCTTGACAAGTCTCTTTTTTAACTTGTTTTTGATCAGTATTGATCTTTTAGATGAAAACTAATGCATAATCATATTCTGCTTCAAACTTGTAGTGGTGAAAGCATGAACTAAAACTGCTTAATTTTTTAAAAATGGAAGTGGGACTATGATTTTTCATGACAAAAAAATTGTTATGCATTCCCAAATCAGCAAGTGCACTTAACAATTCAAAAATTTAATTGCTAATTTTTAATCTGAATTTTCATTTTTGACAATCCAATTTTTTTGATTCCAACTCAAATGATATTAAATTAGAAATAATTAAATTTAAATATTTTTCATTTTGATTTAATAATCATATATAAATAAATAAAGTTTTGCTATCAAATACTGTATGAAATATATGAGAAAGAATATATGTGATTTGATCTAATGACATAAATGATCACATTAAGATGATCCAACGTTGACCTCTGTTGTTCTTCGAGCTCGTGACGGTGGTTCTTTGCATCGTCTCAAATATATCAAAGAAGCAGCTCGACTGCATCAATTTTTTTTGAATAATTTTACCGCAGAGATTCCTTCCTCTGGTGAAAAGATTGTTTACAGTGATATCTGCGGAACTACATGTAATGCCAATATTGTCATAGACTATTTTCAGGTATTCTTTTCATTTTTACTCGAAAGAACAGCATAGAATATTTAATTATTGCACATTATTTGTAGGCTTATTTGAGCTTTCTCAGTTTATAGCAAAAGTGCATATAAATTACTATAGTGTAATGTAAAACGCGTTTATGTTTCAAGAATTTATCCACAGATTTTTTTTAACATTTCGATTGGAAAATTTTAAAAAGCTTAAAAGTAAAATTTTACAAACTGAAATTTAATTTAGCAAATAAGTACGCTTCTCTCATAACACAGTGTAATATTTTGAAGAAATGATGGAATTGAAGCATTTCAAATCGTACAGTGTCTTGTTTTAGTGTGTAATAGTCAGTAAGAGTACCTATATTATTAAAAAAAAATCATGTGATGAAGTATACAATGTAACTTTTAGCGTGCAATAGAAGAAGAGTATATGAAAGAGAAAAGAGGTATACCACGTAGTAGTATTACTAATTTGACTTATCCCGTGGCTAAAATCTTCGGTTTTGATATGCATTTGGAGCAAAACTTTTATGGTGTACGGATGAGATCTCAAAACACTGCAAAAAGTAACCACAACAGCAGTACTAGTGGAAATATGCGAAGAAAACCTGCGACATACACTGAAGAAGCAATACTAGAAAATATCACTGATATTGAATACATTCAGGTTGAAGTAATCAAAAATAACATGCCAAATATGGTGCTATTATAATGACTATTAAACATTTAAACGGATAGCAGCAATTAACAAAAAAGCGGAAAAAATTTTCAGCACTGCATTTTGAATGTTTAAAATATATCATAATTATGAATATACCAGAAATCACTTAGTGCTACATCAATAATACCTTAGAAGGAGCATTCTTAATCACAAAATCAAATTTTGCTTGGAATATTCTTGAATACTCTGCATTATTTTTTACTTTTTCTTAAACATTCGTTTAAAAAACGAAGATTCTTTCCTGGTCAGTAGCTATTTTGACCACAACAACAAATTAAATATCATACATACTATCTTGTAAGGAGATCAGATTTGGATCAGATATAAATTATTGATTAAATAATCAAAAAGTTGGCATCTAAATAATTATTATTCTAAATTATTTCAAGTGTGACAATTAAATGTTTACATTTTGCATGTCTTAATATATTTTCTCTCGTTACAACATAAATCTTTGCAAAAAAGTATGTAATTTTATTTTCCAAGTTTAGTATCTTTTTTCAGCTTATTTCCATGTTTTTTCAAGGATACGTAAATAGCTCTTACACACAAGAAAAGTTAAATGCGTGGGAACTGGCGGTATATAAGTATGCAACGCAAAATTATGTTCACGAACCTATTGAAATTGTGGTATTATACTTGCCACATTTTTTTTACACACTTCTGCTTCAAATTATTTCTTTCAGCACGTTCCTGTTCTTAAAATTTGGAATCTCAGCTTGTTTTAACTAATAACTTCTCTTCAGTGGCTAGGTTAAAAGTTCCAGAATATATTTTTCGATATAGAATTGATTTTTGATAATCTTAACTGACAATTTTAATTTTTAATTATTGATAATACTGGGTGTTTAATTTTTTCTTTATCTTTTTAATTACTCATAAATGTGTTAGTTTGCGGAAAAAGGTACAAAAATCAGCAAAGTTACAGGTTCTTGGAGTTGAAATCGTAAATCAAGAACTAATTAAAGATTCGCGACAAATGGGACCATACTTTGTTGCTGGTTTTTATTTTTATTACTTTTGTAGTAATTATTCAAAAAAAAGTGAGGCTGTTGATTAATTTGAATATACAAGCTCAATGTTTAGTACTGTGCGGATTAATTTTTAACTGATGCATTTGCTGCTGAATTGTTTTCAAGTATGCTAGTAGATTCATTTATCACTTGCTGATATACTCTTCAGAAGATGAAAAGAAACCACTCAATGATTTCTTTTAATTTTTTGGTTGTAAAAATGAGCATTTTACTACTCTACCTTGTTGACAAAGTTTATCTTCTGGATTCCGTAGTCTTGAACTTGATGAATGACTTAGCTTTGCTCACTTAAATGTAATATCTTATTCCCTGAAAGAAATTTGAAATAATTTTGTCTTTAATAATAGCTGCCAGAAAATGCTTTTGATTTTTGAATTACATAATCTTTGGAATATTTAACAATTTATTTCAGGTTTTTTCGCAATGCTATTGATAGTCGTAGTTTCGGTACTGGGAAGTTCGATGTTATTTGATGCCATACACGCAGCTAAATTAATTGTTGCACTTGGTGCAGTGGCATGCCCAATTTTGGCAGTTACTGTCACTTTTGGTTTATTTTCTTTAGCTCAACTCAGAACAAATTCAGTTATGCTAATTACGCCTTTCTTAGTAATGGGAATTGGTGAGTAGAAGCAAAAATTGAATTAATATCATCATTCGATAAGTTATTTAATAATAGCCAAATTCTGAGTTCTCACAAAGTTAGCTTCAAATAATATTTTCTTTTCCATATCACTTGTTATTTGATTGTTAGCTATCATCAGTTTTGCTTAGATAATAACAAACATGTTTTATATCTCTTTTGCTCAGTACAAGTATCAATCAAATCCTTGGAAATTCTCTGATCGTATTGTTGATTAAAAAAGGCTTGATACTGAACGTTTCTATTAAAAATTATAACCTATTTCATTGCATCAATTCTTAGACAATTAATAATTGCTAACAAAAGTTGAAAGTAATTTTTGAAAGGATTTAGCGGAAAATTTAGAAGTAACTGAAGAATTTCAAAGATTATTGCTATTTTGATCCATTATCTTTGGTCGGAGCTAAATTTATTAAGCTAAAGCTGATTGATGTCTAAGATAATCCGTAATCATTAATTTAAAGTAGAAATATTTTTTTTGAAAAAAAAACTTGTGGGAGCTAGAATGTAGAGCCAGAACTTGATTATTAAAATGAATAGCTGTTTTAACTATCAGTAAGTTATTACATTTTATTATCAATGAATTTTTTCAAGCTATCGGGATATGTGACACAATGATGTTATACACTCATACACTCATTAAAGGTACTAACCTTTAATGAGTGTATAACATTTATGCCAATCTTTATCATAATTATTGTTATTATCCATGATGTTAAATACAATTACCATCCTTTTAAGGAGTCAATGGTTCGTTCCTTATGATCCATTCTTGGTTACGACTACCGAATGATTGTACTATCCCTCAGCGACTTGGTTATATGCTTGAAGAAATTGGTCCATCCATAACAATTTCTACTCTCACAAATGTGATCACTTTCGGAATCGGAGCACTGACACCAACTCCAGGTTTTAATCAAAATTTGACATTACATATTATCATTATAGCTATTTTTCCTGTCACTCTAATATTAAAATCAAATAAATTTTAACTATAATCTTTAATAATTTGCTTTTGATTATACTTTTAAAAAAGTTGATCATTTTTGTCTGTTTTTGACGAAGAAATTGAATGAGCCATTCACGCATCAATATGAGACTCAGAATTGTTACAGAAATTTCATTTAGCCATTAATAAGGGATGAAAAGAGTTTTGTAAATACAAACTGTTTTGTAATTGATAGATTTATTTTGTAAAATTTTTGAATTCACAATTCACAGTAATATTTCAGAAATTGCATTATTTTGCTTCGAAACAGCAATCGCGCTCGGATTTGCCTATATTTTCACATTGGTGTTGCTCTGTCCATTGCTTTACTTGGCATCAACTTTAGAAGGAAAAAGAAAATATAAATTTGGCTTCTCTAAGGTCTGTTTTTTGTTTTGAATTACATTCGAATAGACTTTGAACTATTCATTAATATTATATTAGAAAATTAATATAGATCATTAATACGTAGTCCTGCGCAGCAAGTCTTTTTTCTCCTAAAAAGATTATTAATTTATGGTAGAAAACTATACAAAAATAGTATTATATGCTTAATCATTTGATTAATCATTAAATTTTGTATGTATATAGCAATCAAATATTACGTGAAAGTTACTTTTTTGATTGCTACCCTTTCAGTGATATTCAAAATAATACGTGTTCATTTTCTCGCAATTCGCAAAGTTTCTTTTGTATGAGTACTGTGAATAAGTATTTTTTTTTGACAGTATAAAAACCGAATGCATTTCTGTGCATTTTATTTTATTTAAATAGTTTATGCTTGACTACTTCTTAATTTTATCAAAATTTTTCCATTTTTTTAGTCAACTTTATTCTTTTAAGGAAAAATGACGCAAAATAAATGAAAAACTTTGTTTTAAATTACGTGTAAAAGAGGCAAATCTATTTTTGAATAATATAATGCATTCATTTTCAGATTATTGATAAAATGAATGCAGGACTTAAATGTTATTGTTGGTTGGTAGCATCAAAACCATTTGGTGTATTGGCTACCGTATGTATTTTGATTTATTGGATTTTTGGTGTTATTGGTGTGATGAATATCGAAACGCGTTTAGACGTGGAAAAAATACTACCTAAAAATTCCCCATTGCAGGAAGCAAATGCTATCCTAACAAACATTGGTTACTTCTTTCTTACAATTATTTGATGATTTCATCGTTAATATTTTAGGAATTAAGATTTATTTTCAAAGATATTTAATACCAAAGTATTATATCAATGTTGCGATAAGAATCAAATTTAACTGACTTGCTCTGTGATATTAAAAATAATTTATGACATAGGATTAACCTTAGTAGCTAATTCTTGTGCACTACAATCTTTTTTTTTCAGTCAGTAAGCAGAAACGATCAAAATCATTATATTATTATACCTAAATCTTTATTATAAAAATTAATAGATAAATATTTTGTTAATTAGATTACAGTTTGGATGGAGTATTATCCAGTAACAGTTTTCGTAAACAGTCCATTAAATATAGAAAATGATGCTAGTATGAAACGATTTAATGCAATGGTGAATGAGTTTGAAACATTAGAGGACTGTCGAGGTAAGAGAGATAACAAATTATTCGTTTATAATAATAATAAATATGCAAAACATTTATTTTTTATGCAATATAAACGATTTGGAATCCGAGAATAGTAATATTAATAATGTTAATAATGTCATTAATAATAATATTAATAATAGGTATAATATAATTTTGTCAAGTTTAGCATATTATTCATGGTTATACTAAACATCTACTACAAAATTATTTACAAGAGTTGTGATTAATATATTTTAAGGAAAAGAATTTACTCTTCTTTGGTTCAGAGATTATGAAAAATATTGGCTGGATGCATCTTTATATGACTTCGATTATTTCGCGTATGATGTTGTAATAAATGAAACTGTAGACAACAGTATAACTACTGCAGTAAAACCTACAAAACATGAACAAAAATCTCAGCATGAAGTAATTGATTACAGTAAACTGTCTGCTTTTCTGCAATCGCCAATTTATAAGCACTGGAAAACGTTTTTGAAATTGCGGTAACTTTTTAAAAGCTCCTTCAAAATATGAATATATTTTGTATTTTATCATGACTAAGCTCAATAATGTTTTTATTCGATAACGAAAATTTATTAAGATCTTTATGAATATTTTACCGTGATAAAAATAAATTTCGTCTTTTTCATGATTTTAAAATTACAACAAAAATTACAAAACTGGTAAGCAATTTATTTTTGTTTAGTTTGACTGCGTATTACGCTATTTATTAATGTTAGTAATGCTATATTGATTAATTCATCAGAAATGATACGGAGATACCGGTGGAACGATTCTGGTTTTTAGTGGTATACGAGAATGTAAAGGACTGGAAGCAACGCATTGAACTAATGCAACATTGGAGAGGGATAGCAAATTCTTACAAAGATTTAAATGTATCTGTCTGGCAAGCCAATTCAATGTTCGTTGATCAAATGCTTTCACTGAAATCAGTTGCAGTGCAGGTGAAATTCGAAATATAATATGCATATACAACTTGATTTGATGGTAATAGATCAATCATATCAAGTCAAGACTTAGAAGAATATCATATTTATGCTTTATTTAGCAAAACTTAATCTGCCATTTTAAAATGCAGCCCATGGAGTTTATCCTTATTATATCGAATGCTTGCTCCATTTTTATTTAATCTTGTTATTTATGAGTCATAGTTGAATTTTAAGACTTGTATTTGGACCTTGATATGCATGACAGCGGTATGTGCTTTATTTATACAGAATCCATTCAGTGTAATTATCGCATCTGTAACTATCTTATCTATAAGTTTCGGTAAGTTATACTCCAATATTCCATTTTTTGGATAGGTTTTTGTAAATTATGATTATTAAATTGGTGATAGTTTAATGAATTATTTCAAAAAAGCAAAATGTCTTTGAGCACAGAGTAATAATTGTGTTCATTACTTGCTTTTTATGAATAAGCATTTCAAATCCATGTTTAAATTTTTTATAATTTTCAAGAAATAAAAATGTTAAGAAACCATATTTTCATAGTTTATAATTATTTTCATTGTTTGTTAAAATACACTTGATCAAATAATAAGGCAAGAGCAAAGACAACTTATCCAGATCATCACAAATAAAGCATTCGAGCATTAAAAACAAGTGGATATTCTTATCTATCATAAACATTGACCTTTTTGCAAAGTTAGAAATCAAACTATGATGGGGATAGTAATGACAATAAAAACTAGTCCTAGTACACTATTACTTACAAAAAACAAAAAAAGAGGTGAAGGGGGGCCCTTACCAGGAAATGCTACAACAACATCCACAACAGCAACAACAACAACAACAACAACAACAAGTGCTGCCAAATTGTTAAAGGCGTGATCGGATTCTTATCCTGGTGGAACTTGGATCTTGATCCCGCGACTCTTTGCGCCATATTGATGTGTATTGGAATGTCGGTCGATTTTACTGCTCACGTATCCTATCAGTATCAAGTGAGTACCGTAATACTTTCATCTCAGCAGCCAAAAATTGCAAAGTACGGTACTGAAAGTTTTATTACAGTATTTTGAGGAGATATTGCTTTACTTGTAAAAAACACCGCTATTAAAAATTTATAATCAATAATTCGTCGTTCCATTAGAAACAAAAAAAATAAATAATTAATTAAAATAATGGATAGAATAACTTCTGGTCAATTTGAGGTTGGAGAGAAAAAAATAATCGCAGAGAATCGAGTAAGAAAATTACGATTAAATAGTAATACATCACGTTTGGAATACACCTTGAAAAGCGTATCATGGCCAATTTTGGAAGGAGCAGTAAGCACAATTGCATGTATCTTACCCTTATCACTCCTAAAGGTTCGACTTCTTAGCGAAATTTCAAGTGGTTAAACATTTTTTCGTTACTGTTGTGTAGGTAATCATAGCCATTCTGCACAGTATAAAAAAATCTTTCTGCACAATACGTGTGGTGCAGTATGAATTATTAGTAAGTAAAAGTTAAATAAAAAATTTATGCTAATAAAAAAATCAGCATTAATAAAATTATAATTTTCATTCTCTTAATAACTATTTTTTCAGAATTATATTCCGTTAGTATTTGTGAAAACAATATTATTGGTTGTAATGTGGGGCTTAATTCATGGACTTGTATTACTACCAACATGTCTTTCACAGATTCCTAACTCTTTACTAACAATTAGCTGTTATCGCACAATTTTACGCAAACGTCAACTATCCGGTAATACTAGCAATATTATCGATGGTACTACCAATAACAATAATTGTAATAGAAACTTGGAGGACAAGAAGGATAGATATCATAATGCAGGCGAATAACAAACGTTACGCCTGCTAAATGAATGCTTGCTAAGTGACATAAAAGTTTCAAAAATAAATGCTTCCAAAGTATGATCTACTAATTTATCCTTCTGTCTGAAACTTTTAATGATTGTATGGAATTGATCATTTGACCATATTCATCACTTCAGAACAGCCCAAAATTCATTTAATCTTACGGGACGAATTGAATGAAATATGGCAGATGGCACTTTTGTTAAATTTATATTAAAGTATATTAAATTTTTAAAACTACTGATATTAATAATGTTGTATTTCAACTAAACTCACCTCCTCTTCTACGTCTTCTCTGTATGCAGATATCACTCACTAATCCACTGAATTAAATATTGTGCAACAAATTAGCACAAGCTTATTGAAAAATAAGCTATCAAACAGTTCAGCTGCTATAGAAAGACTTTAAATAATTCAGACAATTGGGAGTTTCTTCCTCTTTTTCTTATTACCCTATACACTCAGAATACCATAAATAAATATGTGCTAATTGAATTACTTAAATCATCTTCATCTCAATAGTTTAGATAGGACAGATTTAAAGAAACTGTCATTTCGCAACTTTATGCACGACGAATCTGCTCCTTCACACCTCTTAAGCAAATGCATAATTGATCACCTTCAGTTGCACTGATGTAATGACCCAAAATTAAATAATAGGCACTTCCTCCAGACTAAAGAATTCAATCTAACACATCATGACAATGGAAGGGATATTTACCAAATCAAATGCCATAATCTAGAATGTTGATGGCTTCCCAAACTACATCGTTTACTACGGATAAATTCTTACGAATCTTAACGCAAAACATAGTGCGCATCAAGAATTGCAAAAAATATGCAAGAAACCCTACACATTCTGAATCTATCAGACATCTGAGAACTCCTGAATACCCTGATAAAAGATTATGATGCGCGAACTTTTTAGTTTGGAATACGTAATACTGTTACAGTGGTCAATTAGCACACCTATTCTTTTATTTGTGACACAAGCTTTGTAACTTGATCAAACCTTAATTAGTTCCATTTCTGGCAACGACCTAGATGAGATGTGTAACAGTAATGCTTCAAAATAGTATCGTCATTAACAGCAGATGTCAAATTTTAACACATTTAACACATCCATAATTAAAATCTTAACACGGAACACCGTTCGAAAAATCATTCAAACAAGCTAACATGAGCAATAATTCCTTCTCCTTTTTGACGAACGCACACAATTTTTAAATGTGAGGAACTATTAAGAAGAACGGATACAAGTTCCTCACTATTCCAGGAAAAGGTAGGTGTATACAAAATGAATGCGAACATGGACAATTTTATGAGATGACAACTGATCTGTACTACCATTGGGTAGCAGTTATCAGTTATTAATCTCAATATACATTCCAGAAATTAATGAAAACAGATGTTTGAAATGATAAAAAAATAACGAAAAATTAACCTGAAAGCACATCTTGCTCTGATCAAAATGATAATACACGAAATGGAACTGATACATTCTAAAATATTCACTGTCTAGTATCCAGCCAGCAATTTAATAATGCAAATACTAGACTATTTAGATCAAAAACAAAACTATAGAGAGATTTTCATAGCTTACCAGAACCAATAATCACAAAAAACCTAAATTTCGAAAATTTCCTAAAATAATTGTGTGGAACAATAAATTAGATTGCAAAATTACTGAGAGCAATACCACTCTCAACATCACTATGAACTCTCTTGTAACCTGTTTTATATAAATTAAGAGCATTAAGTATAATTCGAACCACAGAGAAATAAAGGATGTATGAACTCAAAAAGTGACTCAAAAGAGTTAATTTTCAAAAAAAAGCTATCTAAAATTCTTATCAACTCCCTCCCATCTAGCTGCAAACCAACTATCAACAAGTATAATATGGCTAAAGTACAACCTGAATCCTTTCTCAAAAGACATAAACTTTTCGAGATCTAGCTTTGAAACATTGTTGCACGAATATTTTAAAAACATCAAGGACCTTACTCATATTTACAAATATATAGCATGGCATTAATCACAGCAAAGAAGAGTATCTAAAATCAAACGAGTGATCCTGCTTCACTTTTTCAATGTCTAGGCTTTCAGTAATGCTTAGATAACCCAATATTTCATACTCAAATTTCCATGTCCTAAGCCGAAAAATCTAGTAAGCTTAAGTCTTCTAAACATGTGACTGTTTATTGATTTAAGAATTTTGCTGAATTTTATGAACTGTCCCTCCTATTCTATTTCTATAAAAACAGAATGAGGTTAGCAGTTTCTTCAATAGTAAACATAGAGTTAATAAACTGGAATAAACAAAACAACCAAAAGAAGTAAGTCCCTAAATGGAAGCAATCATGAATATTATTACAATCTAGAAACTTGCTATCATAAGAGTTTTACTGTCAATAATAATTAAATTTTGAGAGAACAATAATTCTAGATCATTTCTTATCCCTTTTACTCCTATTTAAATGCATTACATGAAAAAACTGCATAGGACAAAGAAACAGTAAAGCATGCCATGTAATTAGTAGAACTCTATAGTGCAGTATTTTGGAAGAAAAAAAATTCACAATTATCCAAAATCCGGCAAAAATGTGCACTAGTAAAGAACTCCTGCCGTAACAAAACATAATATACCATACATTTCCATGTACAAAATACCATGTCACTAACTGCAAAACAACAGAACATTCAACTCCTTTCTGAAACATGTGAAACTATTTCTTGGACTGACTTTTTGCATATTCTAACAGAAAATTCCTTTGCATCGCTTGTTGTGCCTGTTGCAATTGTCGAACCATCTGTGGATTACTGCTAAACATAGCAGCAGCAGCAGCCGGATTCATTGAAGCTGCCAAAGCTGCCAAGGGATTAGCTGCAGCTGCATTTGCTGCAATATTTCCAGATCCACTGTTTTGTTGGGCATTTTGAACCGCTTGAGCAAGTGCTGCCATCGCCAAATTAGGTAAACGCTGCTGCACTAATGGATTCCACTGTAGCTGAATCAAAGACAGTTATAAATTAGAACTTCTAGATATATAGTGCGTAAGGACTACGGAATCCAAAGCACTTTCAAAACACATGATGGAAGATCTTCTTTTATGAACACGATCATACATGGAAGTGTAGCCAAATAACTACCGTCTTATTAAAAATTAATTTCCAAATTACAACTAATTTAGACAGCGATTCAATCAAAAATTCATCTAAATAATTAGTTTTAATAACAAACAGCGATACTTTAGTTCGCTTGGAATTCCAAAAAATAACTCCTCCTAGCAAAATTATTCTTACTGCTATAATTTAAGCTTTTGCAAACAGTTTAAACGGTTTAATAGTAACCACTGAATTTTTTCCAAATTTGCATATTATATCATAAAGTGGATTGTATACCTGCAACATACTCGGAGCATTGAGCAAAGGATTAGCCATCATAGCTGCAAGCATCGGATTAGTTTGCCGTAATGCTACAGCAGCAGCCATCTGTTGCTGGAGAAAACTGGTTGCACCAGTTGCACCTGCAGCGGCAGCAAGTGCAGCTGCTGCTGCCGCTGCGGTTTGGGATGCACTTTGTCCAACCGTACTGGTGTTACTACTAGTTGCAGCAGATCTTTTATGGGAGCCTAACTTAGCGTGATGATGCTGATGACCAGTCTATAAAACATTTTTAAGAACTTTTTATTATACTTCGGAAAAATAAGCAAATCTAAATATTAGCAACAGCAATCAAAATGGAACAACATGCTAATTACTTAATCACATACAGAAGAAGTAGAAGCTTTTGGTGTACTGAATGAAGCAGCAGATGACGAAGGTGTTGTCTTCAGAGTAGATGGGCAGAGTGGTGGCGTGGCTGGAGTTGAAGAACGGGGTGTCGATGAAGAAGGTCCTACTGTTTCAAATTTGCCTTCAGCGATCTGTTTTTCCAGTTCCTAAAGTAAAATTTATAATCAAATAATCAATGCACTAATATTTCTAAACTATTTTTCTAAAATTTTGACAATTATTATTTGCTATTACAAGCGATAAGATATTCTAATCTGGAATTAGTTTCATAATAAATGAACACCATATAAATACGATTTATGAAATGAATCTATTCATTCAAATTTTCACCCACCTGTTCTTTCTCTGTAATTTTATTAAAAACTTTTCTGAGCAAAGCTGCATGTTCTTGTCGTAACTTCTTCTTTTGCGCTGATTTAACACATGCATCACAATAAAGATTTAATGAATTATCATCTGCTCCAATAGCACGCCAAACTGGAGTGAAATCAGTACCGCATTCTTCACATACATAAGGCCCAACAGCAACACGTCTGCAAAAATGATTTTTTTTTGACCAACAGTTTAGTAATTTCTAGAGATAAACAAACAGTAATTATCAATCATAAAAGAATAAATCTTTAATCATAAAAGATACATCCTTATTTGACTGTTTCCAATGCTGTGATTTCGAGAGACATCTAAACAAACAAATGCATTAAAAATTAATCTCCTTCTACAGTCTTCTGGGTAATTTCAGTTTTATAATTTTTTGAATCCTTTTTTAAACCTTTCTATAAATTTATTAGACACTTTTTTTAGTAAAGCTGCATGCTTTTGCTCTTAACACATGTGTTAAGTTAGCACACAAGATGGTCACTTTTTCTTCTTGAAAAAAAAAAAACTGCATTACTTGAAAGCAGTCTTATCCTTCAGCAACCTTTGTACAGCAATATCAAGACCCAAATATACTAAAAAGTCCGGCTGATTTGCGTTTGGAATAAAATGCATATCAAGTGGTGCAGAGCGTGGTGATGGAATCTAAAATTAACCAAACGCATATAATTATAAACAAAATCATGTAAAACAGCCATACTATTTCCAGAGTAGTTGCTTCCAGAGTAAAGAATATAATAGAGAATAATTCAGAGCAACTTTTTGTTTATAAGCTTGATGCAAACAAAATCTAAATAAACACTAAACTCGAATACCTACGACTAATAAAATGAAACAAGATGAAAAAATTTATCTTTCAAAACTCTGTGTCTGTAACATGTGATTTATGTTTCAAAAATTTAATTATAATCACATAGCTTCATTAAAAACCTTAATCTGAAAACCTACTTGTAATAAATGCTGTTCCAGCTGTCGTCGTAGAGCAGCTCTGGCTGCTGTAGCGCGTTGAGCAGCGGTTTCTTTGGCAGCTAATATAGCTGCCGCATTGTTCCGAGATTGATGCTGTTGCTGATGCTGAGAAAGAAGAGCTGCAGTAGCCAAAGCTGCGGCGTGCTGAGTTAAACGACCTGAAATTAAGAAAAGAATCCGTTGCACTAAAATATTAAAAATATTAAATTATAGTTAATGCGTAATAAAAGAACGTCAAGTTACAGCTCATTATTCAACAATCTTAAATTTACCGTTATTGGACTGAACATGCTGCTGGGCCTGTTGCAGCAATGCTTGAGCAGTAGCAGGATTAATAAAGCCACTTTTAGCAGCGTTATGCAACATTTGTTGTTGTTGTGGTGTCAGATTCGCATTCATCAACGCAGCAGCTGCTGCAGCTGCCGAAGTTACAGCAATAGAGGGACGCGAAGATGTATTTGAAGTTGATGCTGTATAGTTATAAGAATTTTTTAATGGTAAAAGAATTTACAGGATGAATTGTCCACTAACTAAAGTATGCAAACAATTCAAAATTTGACTTTAAGACACTAGAAAATTTCTAAGACACACTTAACTGAGATATTACAGAGAGAAATATACAAGTGAAAATTAAAAAACGATTGTGCAATGTGAAAAATATAGAAAAAACTGAAATCAGCGCCAACCTTTTACTTGACTATTCGACACAGGCCGAGTCTGAATAGCAGCAACAGGTGGCTTGTAAGCATGACCACTACCGTTCTGTGCAACATTGGCTGTTAGTTTACGCACATTGGCTTCTTGAATCTAAATGGAAAAAATCCAAAAAAAGCAAATCAACAAAATACAATCCAGAGCTGTTATATATCTCAGCACTATAATTAATTTCTTTCCCTCTAGCAATAATCTTGCAGTTCAAGAAATCCAGCAACAAAGAATTTGGTGCTATCCTGTTCGAGCAAGCAGTTAAAATGCTTCATAACAAGCAACAGAACAGATTTTAGTGAACAACTAGAGTAAATTTTTTTTAAAACCAAGTTATATTAATGTCATCATAGCAATTGTAGAGGGACTATTACAACTTTCTATTTTTTTTTCTTCAATATCTTACGAATACAATATTATTAAAAAAGTTCTATTGCGTAATGAAGATTGGATTTAAAACTTGTACAAATGCTTTTAAATATTATAAACAGCAACGTTAACATTATTATCATGATCAGAGCACTAAACTCATAATCAACTTATTTTGACCTATATCGTCACTCATTACTATGATATCTATTTTCCCAAATAAAACAAAAATTTCCTTTTTCAAACAGCTTATCAAGAATATGAATATACTGAATGACCTGTTTAACAGAATGCTGTTGGCTTATTTGCAATTTTTTTAGCATCAATAGTTTTGCCTCGTCCTTCCTTAGTTCAGCTTCAATATTTTTAACCATAATCTCCCGCTCCTTCTTTTGTTCATCAGTTTGTTCCCGATTCACGGTCTGAAATAACAAACCACTAAACTACATTAGATTACTTACGTGTTAAATATTAAATAATGTAAAACAAATAAAAATGAAGGTTGTGACAAAAAAGGAAAAAATGTGATTTTGTAGAAAAATATTTTCTGAATAGTGTTATATCCAGAAATCACAAAAAGATGATAAAGACAAAACTATAAAGTTGCCAAAAGAAAAATCACACACTCGGTCATAAACTTTTCTGACTTGCTCGAACTCCAATTCATTCAAACTTGATAATTCGGACTCGTCACTCATCAACAGTACTTCATCGTCTTCCATTTTAATTCCAAATTTGCAATCTGTCTGATCTAACTTCTGACCTTCCGCATAACGTTTTTTCTTAAATAACGGTTCGTCACTATCATCATTTTCTGGTCCCGAAATGCAAGCTATACCCTGTAATCATAGCAAACGTGTAGTTATTTTGTGCATAAGCTTCTAGATATGAAAAATATTAGTTTGTATGAAGTTCAAAAAGTGATATTTAACTTAGGTATATGGTATATGTTTATGTTACTACGCTTTTTTGTACATGGACAGACTGAAAAAAAAAACTGCCAGATGTGCAAAAAATTATTAGTGCTGCTAAAAATATTTTCACAAAACTTAAGGACACAGAATTTACTTGTAATAATTTCGGTTTTGACGACAAACTTATGAAGGAATTCGGATACAAATATTGTTACAGAACAACTGTAACAGAACAGTAAACAACAAATTTAGAGGACGTTATAGCTCTCTTACATAAAATATTGAAAAATGCAATAAAAAATCAATTCAATTAAAAAACTTCGTATTTCTAAATAATGAGCTAGTAATACTCATAACTACAATTTTTTGAACGTGAATAAATGAATAAATAATGGTCATGTAAACTAACAAATTTTATACATTACGTGGCTAAAATTTTTTCTTAATGTAATACTAAAAGATTAGAATTTTCAAATTTTAAATGATCCATGTTTTAAAACATATATATCCTACTTCACGCAAGTAAATCAAATTGACTAACACCATGTGATGTCATACCATCGATCACCGGCGTCAACGTTTCTTTCAGTTTAATACGTTCGGCAGCTTTTAAAGCGCATGCACGTGTGCTACGACGTAAAGATGATGGTGACACATTTCCGACAGCTACTGAAGACTTTGAGATTGCTGTTTCAGCGATTCCACTTTGTTCGATGTTTGATGACGTTGACTCATGACATAGCCCATTCTTCAAAATGTTTTCAATTTGAATGATAAGTAAGGGTGAATTAAAACAATGTACTGTAAGTTTAGACAGTGGATATAAACTGAATACATCTATGTTACTGATAGCAAGAGAGAAAAAGAGAGCTTTAACAAGCTCTGCTTAAACCCGTCATTATAGATTTTAAATCATTCGTTACTAATAAATGATAAAAATTATCAGAAGCACCAAGAGCTATAAAAATTTTTGAATGAATCGAATTTTTATACATAGCCTGAGCGTCACTGCGATTTTTGGAAAATTTTAACATATATAAATTAAATGTTTGAAATCTAACATATTGAATGAAATCAAAAATTTTTCGTACCACACGAAGTATATTTGATAAAAACATATTGTAATTTGCTGCCTCTATATTATTTAAATTTACACATGCTACATTACTAACAAAATATGAATATGCAAAACAATGATTTTTATCACTTTTTGAACTTGCTACTGTAATTTTGATTGGGATAAAAATTTTTTAAATAGATTTTAAGTATATTTCAGAAAGTTTACATCTTTTAAGAAAAATATATTAACATGAAATATTTTTCGTACCACACGAAGTATATTCAAATCAATTTTGTGCAGTTGATCTTTAATTTTATAAGCAAATAAATATGTTCATTAACAGTAAACCTCCTCAAAACCATTTAATGTTTCTGCCACTAAAGTATGCACGTCAGCTGCACCATTAACTCCTTTTGAGGTACTTTCAGTTGTTGTTCGATGTTCCGATTTCGTTGCCATACTATTTTTAATGATTCACTACGTGCATCACAAACTGCAACAGAAACAAGTATTCATATGCTTTTACGTTAGATCTTTTTAACACAGTAATCATTAAAAAACGGAACTAAACAGTATGTAAAGCAATGATTTTTGTATTAAATTTCTTTCTCCGATCAATTTAGATAAGAGATATAATACAGATAGTGACGAAAAACACGAAGAAGTAAGAATGAATTATGATTTTTGTGAGAGTAATAAGTTTTCAAATATTAAAAAAAGATCTGTAAAGAAAGTGTTGAAAAAAAGTGCAATTTTTATATTTATTTTCCTGATCATCACAACAAATTTTTATCACAAACGACCGTTTAAAGAAAAAAGAATACGAAAAAGAGGAAATATTGGTGTGGATGATCGCAATCAACAACCGCTAATCTTAGTTGCCCAATCAATCTCCCACCTATTTGATGCAACCACTACCCAACAGCCAACGACAAGAAAAAACTCTTAACGAAATGAAAGCTAATATAAAAATCAATTAATCCTTAAGCTTTTCAAACCATTTAATACATACAATGTATATATAACATGTGTGAATATTATCTGTCTATACATCTATACCTTTTACTTTTACAAATGTAAGTTTTTCACATGTCATACGTCAATCATGCCACGACGCCTGGTTAATAATAAAAATTAGCACTTACTAACGTACTCACTAACTAAAAGCAAGTCACACATAACAGCGATCAACTCCACTAACTAACTGCTTTATCATTATGAATTGCAAAAACAATCCAAATTGCTTACATTATTATACAACCACCGTTTATTAATCATAACTATGAAAGTAATAATTGTTATTCATATGACAGTGATAATGATGAGAGGATAGAATATAAACTTTACAAACAACTGTAATGTCCACTTTCCGGAAATACCGGAAAATGCGCGGATGAACAGAGAGCACAAGAGAGAGAGAGAAACGAAGAGAGAAAGCAGAGGGACGCAACTAACAACGACAACTGCATAACGGAGGCAATTTTGAATGCACCCTTGGACAATATGCACAAGCACCCAAGGAAAGTCTCGAAAAATCAAACAAATTTAATGAGTGCGTGCATACACACATACACCCATACTCACGTTCATATACGTGTACAAACTCATGTGTGTGACCGTAAACAGCTTATGTTTACATACGTGTACATAAACATGTCTGCATGCGTGTACATACAAGTACAGCCATACAATGTCGTGTTTTGTGGTAATAAGGGTCACATACACGTGCACACAATGACGCCCACGCAATAGCAGACGGAGAGGAGTATGCGAGTGTTGTCGATAATTGAAAAGTGATCGCAGAGAGGCAACGAAACATCCAACGCTACCGCCAACGACGATAGATAGACAAATAGATAGGTAGACAGATGGCATGAACGAAAATCGATCGATATATGAACGAAAAGCTTGACGCGCGCCATCGTCACGTGAATGTGTGCATGTCTGCGCGTCTGCCCTTGCGTGAGAGTGCGACGTTTGCATGCTGCGCGTTGTTTGTTCATTAAGATGTTACCACTATTGCTATTGCTATAGCTAGGTCTGTAGCTAATGCTATCGCTGCTGCTTCTTCATAGCAAGAAGTATGTACGCATCCTGTCTCCAACAATAATTAATACTTTCATTCCTTTGCACACTCACTCACTCACTTATTCAGTCAGTCAGTAGTAGTGTATTGCATAGTAGGCAATAAGATAGATGTGACCTCGATTGACCTTAGATGTTCTAATAATCACCCGCTATGTAAGCACAAGTAGTACACTCCTGCCTTTGCTCACAAATTAAGTAATATTCTATTCTGTTACACCGAAACCTGTCAGCTATATAGCACTAACCTTTTCAGGCAGATATTAATGTCACTACAAACGTTACTTTGCATATTTACACAAGTCGTTTAGCTACTTAGCATCCATCTGACAAAAATGATAACAAAATAACTGAGCCATAAGAAGTTACGATTTGCACTAGAAATAAACGCTGTTTTTGCTTGCCATCATAGCCACAGTCTCGATTCTAAATCTGAAAAGTGAATCCCATTTTAATTCATTCCACCTATTTATGGTTTAAGTTTACTTCTGTAATTGTAGTATTAATTTTCTAGTGAAAACAGTTTAAAATCTCATTTACTGGCAGTTGTAATTAATAAATTATCCTTTAAACTACGTTTGCTGTTAATTGCATTTATTTGTTTTTCATAGTACGGCAGGCTAGAAGCTTTATTGTATATTTAAATGAGTAACAACAGTTGTTAATAAATCAGTTTGCATTTACAAAATGTGATATTTTAATGATAAATAAAAATTTTTCTCCTCTTTATTCATTCCACCTATTTATCCGAAATAGAATAATATTATTGTGATATTTGTTGAAAAGAGAGTTTGAATTGTTGCAGGAGTAATGGCAAGGAATAGTAGGCAGTTTCCTTTTTTGCATATTCTCTTCATCTATCCGTATTCTAACCGTTTACAAAATATTTTACTCAAACTTTTCATCGAACAACATTTACATTACCTGTAATGCTTGAATCAAATTTGATTTTCATCAATTCTACTAGTCCATTTCTAGTCTCTCATATTGTTGACAAATTAACTTATCCTAAGAATTTATGTAATCGAAAGCTTCTCACCTTTACATTTTTTCTTTCTGATAGATATCTATCTGCTAAAATCTCACACTTCGTATCACAAATCAAATGTTTAAATTGTACTTCCGCAGGAAAACAATACACCGATTTATTTCTCATAAAGTTTACTGTTTTTACCCTCTCTACGCACTGCATATAATGATCCATTGAGTATATAAGAGAACCTCAAAATACTTTTAAATTAATTATAGAAAAATCTTCAATATGAACTACGCTATCAGCAGTTTAATGCTGTTACAGCATGAAAGATGAAGCTGTAAGTCATATATGCTCATTCTGGAAAAAAAAGAAAGCTTTTAAATTATTCATAGATATAACTGACAGAAATAAAAGAACATCTTAAGCGGTTTTTATTTTACAACAGTAACTGACACTAAAGTCGTATGACATTTCGTACGGATGGAACTAGGTGAAAAATTTTTCTAACACGACAAAAACATTCTAATTTACTGGCGATAAACAATGTTATTAGCAAGTCCTCGGTAGTAGTCTTAGATTTACATGGTTTGCAATGAAGTCGATATAGTATACTTTCTGAATGCCTCACTTACTATACAATATTGAATGTAAATAACCTATTTATAAAAATAATTGGTAAAATTCGCAATTTTTTGCAACTGCATGTTTCATGCTTCGCGCATATACCAAAATAAAAGACGATAAAAGAATGGTTACAATAGGTGTCACCATGTTGATTAATCTGAAATGAATAAATTATATCCATGAAGATGTCGTGCTCGCGGAAAGAATACCTTCTTAATACATGATAATAACTGATAGTCTAGTGATATAATAACATTTATCAGTATTTCCTCTATCTAATCACAAAGTGATGAATGATTATAATTTTTGTTCTAAGATTTTACTCTCATTCCCATCACTTAAATATTTTTTAGCCGTATTCTATTCCACATGAAACAATCTCAGTATACTTTTATTTAAAGACTATTTTAAATTTCTATTTCTAAAACAGAATTGAAAATATATGTGCTTGTACTGATGGCAATTTTGTTTCTAATTATGTGGTACAATTTTCGCACTTTCAAAACGTGTTGTTTCTACCATATTACCTTGTTACACTAAATTTGTCAACCTGGCTTTCAATAATCATTAATAAAATCGCATGATTAGAATATTTCAAGTTATACTCAGTGAGAAATTTCATCCAGTTCTGGCTTTTGATGACATTTTTTGCATCTGAATACAAATTTCCATATCGCTTGAAAATCTTTTAATTAAATTAATGCCGAATAATAAAGGACAACTTTTTAAATTTTACTAATAATATATATGTACATACTAGTTATAAATCTCTCCTTTAGTATTCTAAAATTTCATCGGACTCTCTACAAACACAGTTTTTCAGTGGCATCACTGAAGTATTGACTTATCAGCATATTTGTTCGCTTCTCTCCTAATGTCTATAGAACCGTGACAAAACACGTACGCTACCTACTATGATGCTCTTCGTATGAAAACAAGTACGTGTACTTATTTTTAATCCTATTCCTACGTCTTTCTAAGTATAGAGACTGACTTGAAAAAGATAGTGTATACTTCCTTAGGAAGACCACTTTTAGTTTTATTTTCAGTATTGCTTACGCTTGCACATATTGCAGAAGAACCAATTTTGACAAGTACATACTAAATTTCAAATTCTTAATGAAAATTTTTCACTACAATCTTTCTAAGTAATGATAATCTGAAATGTATAAATATTTTGGAAGATTGAGTGACTATAAAACTATTACTAATATTTGATGTTGAGTATTCTCTGTTAATAATAATATTATCTACTCCTGTATGCAAAGAATGTGAACCACTTAATTCGTGTCTTACTACTTTCTTTTCTTAACATTAAACTTGTTTAATTCTTCAAAATGTTTAAAACTTCATTTTTTTTAAATAAAACTTTAAAGAATATTTCAGTATGTAAGTTGGAACTGATAGTCAAGTACTGTCGTAATATTTCAAATGGTCTTAATTACGTGAAACAACGTGAGATCATTCATTAAAATGAAATACTGAAAATAAGTGGACGAAGTATTATATACATCCTATACCAGTACAAAGTTAATGTATGTAAGTTGAAATTCGCACACTCGACATTACGTGAAGTACCAACAAAAATGTAGACGCACATGTATCCACGTTTCGTTGCAGCACTTTTAAAGTAACTTTTCATGGATGAAGTCCATACAATGCAAATGTGACTCTTTAGTCTTCAATTTTAAAGTTCCTGCGTAGGTAGTTAATTAAACAAACAACGCGTAAAAGAAAGTCCATTTCGAACATCACTGGTTATTAACCATTACTG